TCTTCAATACTTCCTCCCCCCTACTATCATGACCCCAATTCTACCTTACAAATCCAGTTAATCCAGAGCATGTACATGGGTACAGATAAGAGCTGGAAACACAGGGAATCCTGGACAGATAAACCTCTCCGGACCGATATTGAGAGCAGGGATACCAGGAGGGTAAGGGTAAGGTGGGAGGAGAAAGGGCGAACCGATCACAATGATCTATCTGTAACCCCATCCCATGGGGACAGATAACACAAAAGTGGGTGAAGGGAGACATTGGTCAGTGTAAGACATGAAAAACAAAACAAAACAAAACATAAATTATCAAGGGTTCATGAGGGAGGGAAGGAAAAAAATGAGCTGATACCAAGCACTCAAGTAGAAAGCAAATGTTTTGAGAATGATGAGGGCAACCAATGTACAAATGTGCTTGACACAATGGATATATGTATGGATTGTGATAAGCCCCCAATTAAATGATTTAAAAAAAGAGAGAGTTCCTCAAAGCAAAACACATGTGAGTAGAGGTTTGCTCTTCCTGTAGCCGCCTGGGGTGATCTGCCAAAATTGTTTGCCTCTCACTTGACCCAGAAAACCCTACAAAATCATGCAAATCGACAGGGTCAAATCTTTGGGTCCATTTTACAAACACCCATGAAAACTACTCAGGCCAGCAAGGCGATGCATATCCGGAAAGCCACCAGGTATTTGAAAGATGCCACTTTGCAGAAGCAGTGTGTGCCCTTCTGATGTCACAATGGTGGCGTGGGTATAGGTGTGCCCAGGCTGAACAGTGGGGCTGGACCCACGGTCGGTGGCCCAAAAAGAGTGCTGAATTTTTGCTCCACAGGCTTAAAAATGGGAGTGTCCTGCTGAACTTGGGGGTTTAGATGTGGATTTTCTGGTCATTGAGCTCAACCAGGTGAACAAAGCCCCCAGGATGCACCGCCAGTCATACAGAGCTCATGGCCGGACCAAGCCATCCACGAGCTCCCGGCCACATGGAAATGGTCCCTACCGAAAAGGAGCACGATTCCTCAGCCATACGAGGAGGGTGCCCAGAGGGAAAGGAGCCCCGGCGAGACCACAGACGCAAAATGTAAGGCTCGGGAGTCAATAAGCTTCACATCAAAGTTAAAGCAGGAAAAAGAAAAAGAAAATGGTGGCTTCAATGTCGACCCTGGTGAATTACTATTTTAAGCTATCCAGAATTTTAACTTCAAGAAGCCCATTCAGCGAAAGTCCTTTGGTCAGTCCCAGTTTTTTCTTCTTCTTTATGACCATGTCCCAAAGTGTATGTGCCTTTATAAAATGCCCCGATTTCACTCTTGAATACGTTAGGAGTAACTAAATCAGATTGTCATAGATTTTTAATAATTTAATGAGCCTTGTCACCCAATACCATAACAGAGCACTGTCTATACCTGGAAAATTCCTTCAAAAAAACAAGCTCACTGACATAGAGTCAATCCCAACTCACAGTGATCCTATAGGACAGGGTGGAACTGCCCCTGTGGGTTTCTGAGACTGTAATTCTTTAAGGGAGTAGACAATCCTGTCTCTCTCCCACAGAGCAGCTGGTGGTTTCCAACTGCTGATTTTGCAGTCAGCAGCCCAGTGCATAACCACTGTGCCACCTGGGCTCCTGAGAAACTCCTAGACCAGCCAATTATGTAATTCTCGAGGCA